CGTGTCACTAGGTGTCCTTCACATGACATCATTCCGGTGTCACTAGGTGTCCTTCACATGACATCATTCCGGTGTCACTAGGTGTCCTTCACATGACATCATTCCGGTGTCACTAGGTGTCCTTCACATGACATCATTCCGGTGTCACTAGGTGTCCTTCACATGACATCATTCCGGTGTCACTAGGTGTCTGTCCTTCACATGACATCATTCCGGTGTCACTAGGTGTCTGTCCTTCACATGACATCATTCTGGTGTCACTAGGTGTCTGTCCTTCACATGACATCATTCTGGTGTCACTAGGTGTCCTTCACATGACATCATTCTGGTGTCACTAGGTGTCCTTCACATGACATCACTCTGGTGTCACTTGGTGTTTTTTACATGAGGATCCACACAATAAATTCTGTCTTGTGCTTAGTTTCCAGGAAGAAATTCTATCTCTGCAGATAAATTAGTTAGTGTGCTCCCTGCTGTCAGAAAATGAAAACTCAGGAATTCTGGGTGCTTCTTTTTGCTCTGCGGCTAGACAAGAGAGAGCCAAATTTATTGCCTGTGTGTGTAATTTGCTCAGCTGCGAGGTCCAAAAGCACTTACTCCTTCCACTTCTTTTAAATGGACTTATTTTATTTTATGTTCAAATGTCTCATTGTACTGTTGTGAGATGTGTGGGTATGGAAGCATCTGGGGATGCATCTGTTGGCCCATTGATCTGGCCTGTTTACTGCTGGGAACACGAAGCTGAATTCCTCCACACCCAGCTTTCAAGGAGTTCATGTTTTAATGCGGAGAATAGCTTGGATATTATTAGTCATTATAAAATGAGGCTGGTGAGCTCAGAAACACACAGGACTTAGGAAAACAAGACCTGGGAGAAGAGGCTGGGTGGGGGTGAGGGCAGAGGCCACGGAAGTCTGTCTAGAAGGGGTCAAGGCTGAGCATGTTCGTTGCATGCAAGGGAAAGGACAGGGGATGGAGACGTCGGCAGCTCAAAGTTGACCTCTTCTCAGTACTCAACCACTTCTAGCTAGACTAGAGATTGGCAGCTCAAAGCTGACCTCTTCTCAGTACTCATCCACTTCTAGCTAGACTAGAGATTCTGGGAGGGCAGGCTTAGCTCTGTGCCCCTGTACGGACACCAGGACGCCAGGCAAAGTCGTAGGGTAGTAAGTACAGTGTGGTAGCTGGCAGAGCTTGAATCAACCAGGCTATCTGGTTATGCATCTATAACCACTAACCACTTTGAGCCTTAGCCATAATGTGGGGACCAGCCTTGTGAGGCCTGGGCTGGGGATCGGAAAGGACAGAGCAGGCTTGCCTGAACTTGGGCATTGCTTCCCAGGTCCTGGGTAAAACCTAACCCTGCATTGACTGTTTTTCCCACCACACTGCTTATGAAAGCTAGAGAAGAAGGGTTTACCTCCTAGGGATTTGTGAGTATTAAAGGAGACATGCTGTGAAACTCCTCAGAGACACAGGCTAGTTGTCTCTTCTGGTCCATCAGCCATTGTACCATTCCAGGTAGTGAGGAGAATACAGATGCACACACCCTCTCAACTCTCCAAGTAATGCTTGTACTAAGATAATATCAAGGCATTTGTCCCAAGCTAGCATGCAGCACCCAGTTCTCCTCTCAGCCATGTCTGTTGCTGATGCTCTTACAAGTGGCCATTGATATGTCTCTTCAAGGCCACCCTTGCATCTCTCAGGCTGCCACATCCAGGGGGCTCACAGGGCTCAATGCTGGTCCTGCCTCATGCCACAATCTCCATGAGTTTCCTTGTCCACATCCTTTGGGCAGGTACAACAGGAGAGCCCTGACGTGTGTTTGTAGCCGGAGATGAGGAGATAGCTGGCCACATGGGTGCTTGTCTGTACATCAGTGCCGTGCTAGCAAAAGCAGCAACACGGGGGGAAGCCCTTGTTTAGATTTGCCCATTCCTCGTGCATTCTCCCACCATGGCTGACTTTAGGCTGTTGTGCGGTGTCAATAAATTTGGACTTGAGGAAATGCAGAACAGCGCACACTGTGCAGACCACGCCCCTCACATAAAGATTGGTGGCTGCAGATAACTCCAAATGCATGGATAATAATTAGCAAAGAATGAAATTTAAGGTTTTGTTGCTTTTGTTTTAAAATATAATGCATCTATAAACTTACATAATTTGATTCTCAACCTCAGCTGTGTTGAATAACAGCAACCTATATTTCCGACACATCACCAGCCAGTTCTTGTGACGTAGAACGAGCCAGCTCCAGCACACCCCTGGATTCCCCTCATCAAGGCAATGATGTCTTCCAAATGGCGCCTCTCACATCACCACTGAAACTGGGTTCCTTGGCATATAGGGTTGTCTATGCGTGAAGTTCCTCGGACACTGATCTGTTTTGCATATAGGGATGTGTCCTTATGCAGGCTGTCCTGGCCAACCTTTCCTGCTTAGATTGGGCCGGTTCTTAGGGTACCCCCAACCAGTAACCTCCACAGAAACCTAAGGACATGCAGAAAGACTAATGATCAGGCCTAAAAAGAAGGGTGAGGCAAAGGCAGAGGGAGCGCAAACTGAAGGCAGAGGAGCCAATGCTGCCTGGCTAGTCACTGCCTAATTCTTGCACTAGAAGCTCAAATGACAGGACAGGACAGCAGACCACAGACCATACCAACCTACCGAGGGCTATTCCAAAGTCCTAGCCTTTGACACAGTGCGGGTTACAGTGTGAGGGTGGAGGAAAAACCTCCCATACTGACAAGAACCCCATGTGCACTGGGGTCTGTGGGGCCACAGCTATTAGACAGTTGCCTCAGGCTCCTGGACAGCAACCTGGAGTCAAGTCCCTAAAGCGGCAGCTGGGAGATGTTGGAACCTCATCTCTAATTGGGATAACATGCTCTTAAAATACATGGATCTTTCCGAAGCTGTTAATTAGACTTCTGCCCAAGTCCCTTCCGTCTGAAGTTTGCTGATGGCCGCCTCAGGACAGCTGGCCCTGCTGACCCTGACACTGTGCAGTGCAAAGGCCTCAGGGAGGCAGGCAGAGGAATTAAGGCTCCTGATTTCTGAGAACACCCAGAATGGCCCTCAGGGTGCCTGTCCCAGTGGGGAGGATCGACCTGGGAGGTTCTGGTCTGGGGAACATAGAGGACGGAGCAGCCCTTGCCTCAATGGTCATGCTACATGCATGCTTTTCCAGGTCCAAAGGAAAACCCACCTCTGCATTGAGTGCCATTTCCACCTTTGCATTACTTCTAATGAGCCAGCAATGTCAAAGGGGCAGGAGGGACGACTTCATGCCAGTGCCGTGCCCGGAGTGAGCCCAGGTCAGGAGGTACCACCCAGGTCGGCTGGCGTATCTTTCTAAGAGGCCGTCCTTCCTCCCCTTGGCTCCCAGAGGCATTTGGCATGGGAAAATGTCAACTCTAGGTGTTCCAAGTCCCTGGCAATGAAGTGCAGGAGTGTGGCCCTGCTGAGGCTGGCAGTGGGCGGCTCAGAGCCAGGTAGATGGCCTGGGCACACGTGTGCTGACATTCTGGCTCACCAGGTGGATGGCCTAGGCACACGTGTGCTGACTGAGGTCACTCTCATGACATTAGTTTTCTGTGCTGCTTCCCTTCCATCAGCCCTGGGTCCTGGGCTTTCTTAATTGTGAGTCATGGCAGGACCCGGACCCAGGCTATCACAAGCATGGAGGAGGGGTGCTGCTGGGTGTTTGGAACATTAGTGACCAAGTCCTGGCCAGCTGGAAAGAAAGTGAAGCGGTTTTCTAGAGCTATGTTTTGTCCGCTTTCTGGAGTGACACTATCCTCCAGGTGAGGGACATTTTCTGCGTCTGTCTGCCACTGAGGGTGCAGGCCCCTTGGAATATGATCGTGTGTGTCTACTGTTGACATTCTCAACGCACTCAAGTGAGACAACCATTGTAGGAGGCGAGGACAGAGGAATGCCCAGAGAGACCTGGGGCCGTCATCTTGTTCTAAGTGAGAACAGGCAGGCCACTGACCACCCCCCACCCCACGCCATCCCCGTCTGGAGGATGCCCTGGCCCCTCTGATGATGGTGATGATGAAAGGCCTGCTGCCCGCAGTATCACAGACACGGACGGGCTGCTGTTTGCCATGAGTCGCTATGGTTAGGACTGATGAGTCCTGCCTCTGCCTCTGCCTCTGGAAGACTCGGGATAGCACTTTAGGAGCAGGGTTCAGGCTGGGATGGGACGGGAAACCTGGGAGGATACGGAAGCAGTTGGAAGGCAGCCAACAGCCAAGTGCAGGCACACAGGTCGGGGAACTGTGTCTTCCAGAGCAGGTACAGACTCCAATGGTGCCTTCCTGACTCCCAGTGTCTGGATTATCCTGACCCTCTCCTGCTCACTCCAAGGGCTCTGCAGTATACACCCCTGCTGCGGAATATTCCCTCACACTGTTGAGGGTGTGTCACTCTGGTGGAGGTAATAAAGAACTACAAGGCAGCAGGGCCATGTGGGACTTCTAGACAGAGAGACTGCCTGGAAGAAGAAAGGCAGAGTCACCAGCCGGAGCAGAGGAAGCAGGAAGGGCAGTGCAGAGTAAAGGTAACTGAGCCACACAGAAGAACGCAGATTTAAAATATGGGTTAGTGTAAGTTTTAAGAACTAGTTAGGAACAAGCCTACGCTAAGGCAGAGCTTTCATAATAAATAGTTAAGTCTCCATGTCATTATCTGTGAGCTGGCTGGTCCTGAAAAGAAAGTTTGTCTACATGCCCCCCTTTAGCCTGAGGGCTCTGCAGTGTTAACTCTCTTCACTCTGAGGGCAGCAATACTGCTTTATTATGCAGGGATCACCCCCATTCATTCTGAGGGCAAAATACACCCCATTAATTCTGTAGGGCACCCCTATTCATTCCGAGGACAGCACACATCCCCTTAATTCTGAAGAGCACCCCCATTCATTCCGAGGGCAGCATACACTGCCGTCATTCTGCAGCCCCCCATTCATTCCGAGGACCCTGCATCATACTCACCAAGAGCTACTTGCTGCAGGTGCCGCTGGGTGATGGCATCCTTCAGCTGACCTGTCAAAGACACAAAGGAAAACCCAAAGTGAGTTCCCAACAAGCTGCAAGAAGACCTCACCTCAGGAGCACCTGAAAAACTGAGACAGAAAAAGTTGAGAGTCAGGAACCACTGGCAGGCAGAGCTTCTAAAGAGAGCCCTTCCAAGCCCCTGGCGGCGCTGGAAAGGAGAAATGCAGAAATGGGCGTTGGCGCATCCATGAATTTCACCTTAGGTCAATATCTCATGGTTTAATTATCTAAACCTGTCATTCATAATCTTTGCTGGGGCCCTGGTCTCTTAAGTAATTCCATTATTAACGAAGGCGGAGAGAGGATGTGGTCTTTTAATAACTTATAAGGCCCTCTCTTCCGTCCACTCCTTTTATTTTGAAGCTGTATGAAAAGTTGATCACTGGATGTGAGGCACATATAATCTGGTCATCTTGGTGAGGTTGCGGTGTGTGGACGGGGGTCAGTGGACCCGTGGCCACGGTGGGCCATTGTTCTGGTGTTTCCATCTCAGGAAAGAGTAGCAAAACAGTAGTGTTCAGAAGAGCAGAGAGCTGGCTGAACGAACCCCATACTCAGAACCCATGGAAAGCCGGGCAGAGTTCTCTGTGCCTGCACCCCAGTACTGCACGGGCAGAGGCAGGAGGTCTTGGGAGCTTTCTGGCCAGCCAGTCTAGCTGAATCAGTGAGTCCCACATGCAGTGAGAGACCTTGTCTCCAGAAATAAGGGAGGTGACTGAGAAAGACACAATACCAACCTCTGGCACACACGTGCACATTTGTGCAGACACACACACGAAAAAAGTACTCAGAAGATGGGGACTGGGAGGTAGCATGTCAGAGGTCATGCTCTGTGAGGGATGTCTGAGCTGGCCTGAGATATTTTGATGAAGAAGAGAAGATGAGGAGGGACCGGGACGACAAGTTCCTGGATAACTGAGCAGTGATGTGTGGATGCTTTATTCTGTTCCTCTAGGGAGTGGGTCAGGTCATAGGAAAGGCAGAGCAGTGAACTCCAGGTTCAGTGCGGGACCCTGAGGACTTGGTGTTAGGAGGAAAGAGTTCACAGGGTCAGTGCCCTCAAAGGGATCACTTGTTCTCAGTCTCCCAGGACGGCAGCAATCACCTCTCGAAGGCACCAGGCAAGAGCACGTCATGGGTGGTGAGAGAGAGAACCTGTCCTTGAAGGATTTGGGACTCAGTGACTCTGGGTTTCCTCTATCTCTAAAAACCCAAGGTTGGGGGCTTGAGACACGGACAATTCTGGGGTTAGTGTGTGTTCTGGGGCTCAGCATACTATTGTCAGCCCTGCCTATTGCAGTTCCAAGTGGGAACTGAGACCGGGACACTGGACACTGGGGGGAGCCGGGGAGCCTTGTTGCTCCCTTGTCTCCTGTATTTCCTTTAGCACATAAGGACACAGAGTTTCAAGGTGAGGGTGGGCAGATCTGAGGTATTCACAGGAGAGATCTAGGTGACTCTAGGAGAGATCTAGGGATTGAGGATGGCAGAGCTCAGCTTAATCCTAAAGAATGAGCTGGAGCCCCCATCCCAAGCAGTTTCACAATGAAGCTATATAGAACAGGCTAACAAGTGGAGCCCACATCAGCTTCTGTCATGGGGGCCAGCATGGAAAGGGGGCATTCCTGGTTGGCAGAGGACACCACACTCTCCCTGATTCGGCTGCCCCTCCAGGTTGAGCATCCTCAGTTCTTCGGAGTGGGGGTGGGGCACTGCTTCCAGATATGTGATCACCTGGGACCCTTTATTACATGAGGTGACCTCCAGACATAAATTATTTTCACTGCTTCTTCACAACTGTGGTTTTGCTGAGTTATGAATGTAAAGTAAATATCTGATAAGCTACCCTGTGAAAGTGTTGTTTGACCCCCGCCTCCAGGAGTCACGATCCACGGCTCGAGGGCTGGGTGCACCTGCCGGCTGCTCACTGCCTTCCGTATTTCCTCACTGGAGAAGGTTAGATACAGAGAGGGAGCCGAGGATGGGCCTGAGCAATAATTGCTCCCAGTTCTAAGCAGGGAAGGGTGGAACCTTGGGAGTGTGCTGGGGGAGAGCTGGGAGGAAACCTGGCTTGTTATCAATTGCTGCATTTTCATGTGCAGTTTACTTCTCTTAAAGAAGCATGATGGTTTAATTCCAGAAAGTGAAGATTTTAAAATTTTTCCCATGTTATTGCTCAACATGTAATTATCAAAGTAGCATTTCTTTGAATGATATTGTATTAGGACATTTGATTTAAAAAGAAGATGATGGGGTTGTTCATTTAAAAACTGTTAAATGGTGTTTAGTTCAGTACTAGGATAGAACTTCCAGTCATTTGGAATGGCCCTAAACACACTTCTACTGCATTTACTATGTGCTTACGGGAAGCCACGTTCTCAACTTTGATAATTATAAATCAAACGTTGATCCCTACGGGAAATGCTGAAGACCCCTTTACCCTGCAGTTCACGATAGCCAGGCTAGACTTCCCTCCCACTCCCAGCTGCCTCATTAGCATGTACATTTCCTTTTGTATTTAACAAATGGTAAAATCACGGCATACCAAAATTGTTCTCCAATACATTTGTGTGTATGTGTCTGTTTGTATGGGGGTGCACATACACATGTGGGGGCACGGGGAAGTCAGGGGGTGCACACACATGTGGGGGCATGTGGAAGTCAGGGGGTGCACACACATGTCGGGGCATGTGGAAGTCAGGGGGTGCACACACATGTCGGGGCATGGGGAAATCAGGGGGTGCACACACACATGTGGGGGTATGGGGAAATCAGGGGGTGCACACACATGTGGGGGCACGGGGAAGTCAAGCACTCAGCACATCTAAAAAGACAGGGTCTCTCACCGAGCCTGAAGGTCACTTTGACTAAGCTGGCTGGCCAGGGAGCCCCAGGAGTCAGCCTGTCTCTACCTTAGAGTTCTGGGATTCCAAGCACATCAATTGGTTTTCCATGCTAAATGGTCAGCCTTGAAAACATACATACAAATAACTTTATATGGATTGAGCAGTTTGTATTTATGTATTTAAGAATAACTAAAGAGAAAAGCGTGTGAATTTGAAAGATGGGGGCACATGGAGGATTTAGAGGGAATAACAGGAGGGGGAGAAATGATGCAATTATATTACAATTTTAAGGAATAAAAAATTTAGATGGAAATTTTAAAAAAGGAAGTTCTATTTTGAAGCCCTACAGTCCTCCCACAAAAACTCCCTCGCAATGTTCTGCAGAGGATTCTCTCCCTGTGTGTCTGACAATGTCCCTCCCTGACCAAGCTCCTCCCAGCCCTGCACCCTTCCATAGCTGCAGTCTGGCCGAGTCCGTCTCCAGTTGCCCTGCTTCCCTTTCAGTGATAGCCTCTCCATCCCTGCAGCAGGCTTTTGTAGAATGCGAGGGGTTAAGGATTTTCCATAGGACTTGGTTTGCACATGTAAATAAAAAGGGAAAATTTTCTAAACTCCAAAAATATGCAAATACTCTCAGAATAAGGGACCAAAACTGTGGCCTTTATAATATCCCATATTGATAAAGGCAGCTGTAAAATGTAATCCCCAATGCTCAATTGTGGCAAATTGACTGACATCCCCCACCATATGGCATTTGCGGTGGGAGGGCCATATCCCTAAACAAGCTTCCAAAAATAGCCTTATGGCTGATACCTAATTACACTTGCCAGCAGAGGCATTCTTCAAGCAAAGATAACAGTCACTCTAAGCGGCAGGATCTTGAAGCTCTGTGAGTTTTGGCAAAGGAGGAGCCCAGAGAGATTGCAGAATTCGCTCAGCATGAGGCATGCTGTCATTACCAAGGTGATAAATTTGCTGGCTTTCGCCAGGGTTCCTGGACATATTCCGCATATAGAGGTAGGGGTGAGATGAGATAGAAACAGAGAAGTCCCTGCCCAGGCAGGAGACAGGCTGAGAGGGAAGCAGGGAGCCCCGACTGGGGCGAGACTCAAGGAGCAGGCCAAGGAAGAAAGGAAGGAGAGCCCTCTCCATGGGACAGCAGAGCAACTAGCAATGTCCCTCTGCTGACCCTTTCTGGCCTCATCATCAGTGGCGTGAGTGGCGGGGCAGACAGGGCACTTTAAGCTAGTGCCCACTAACAGAAACATTCTGGGGCTGTGCGGCCTTACGAACACCCATATTCTGATCAGAGCACACAAAAGGGGTGGGTTGTAGGAGTGTGGGTTCTCTGGACCTATGCAGGTCCTCGGAAAAGTGTCAGCATCATGGGGAAGCAAAACTTATTCTGCATCCTGATATTTGCAGTGTTTAGGAGGTAAGAGTTTTCCTTAAACCTCACACTCAGTTTTGCATCTAAGCTTGCTTGAGATCACTCACTGAACGGAAGCTGGTCCTGGGGACAGCCATTTGTGTAGGATTCAGCAGCATGGATTCAGTATGGCTTTGCAGACTGCTTTTGGGAAGGGTTCTCCCCCCTCCCTCCCTCCCTCCTTCTTTATTTTCTTCCATTCTTTCCTTGTTTTTAAGAGACAGAGACAGTTTCTCACTATGTGGCCCTGGGTGTTCTGTTACTCTCTATGTGGACCAGGTTGGCTTTGAAATCACTGAGGTCTGCCTGTCTCTGCCCCACAAGTACTAGGACAAAAGGTGTGCCACCAAGCTCGCTCCTTCTGGGAGTTTTGTAATTCTATACTATACTGAAGATGTTTCCATTGCTATCAAGTTATAAGTATTTATCACTTATCTTCGGACATAGCACTACTCCCAGAGAGGCATGTGACAAGGTAGTAGGACACTCCACTGTAGACAGCCTAAGAAACCCAGAAAGACTCAGCAACTCGTTTGCCCACATGCCCTTTTAAAAGATGCTAAACCCTCAAGAACAATGGCAATGGGTTTTTGATCCTACTGCACGAACTGGCTTTGTGGGAGCCTAGGCAGTTTGGATGCTCACCTTACTAGACCTGGATGGAGGTGGGTGGTCCTTGGACTTCCCACAGGGCAGGGAAACTTGATTGCTCT